TGGGGTCTCACCGTGGGGCCAAGGAGAGTAGCTCTGTGGCGCCCCCACCCCTAGCCTTTTTGGGAGCCCTCCACTGCAGTCAGAAGTCGGGGGCAGGGGGCAGAGAACGGAGTCTTGGATAATGACGCCCCAGAGGGGGGTCACAAAGAAACCTTAAAAAAAAAAAAAAAAAAAAAAAAAAAAAAAAAAAGAAAGAAAGAAAGAAAAAGAAACCTTGACTAGAAAAAGGCCAGGATTGTTTCTGGGTTGCTATGGAAACCAGGTTTCCTCCTCCTGGCAGGAAGCGAGGAGTGTCTGAGGCCTTCTCCGTCCGCCAATCCCGAAGGCTGCGTGGCTGGGCGGAGCCTGCTGGGCCGAGGGCGGGGCGGGGCTTGGGGGGCAGGCCAGGCCCTCCCGCCCTCCAGTCCGGAGCCCCTTGACCCTGCCATGCCTGCCTCTCCCTCCAACATTCAGTCAGAGAAGGCTTTTTCCTCTAGTGCCTCGGCCTCTGAGGAGACCTGTTGCTTAGCAACCGCTAGTGCCTTCCTAATAATTCGCAGGGGCTGAGAGATACAGTGTCTGTCTCTGTATTCAGTCCCCTCCCCTGTCTATATTTAATAGCTGAAGCCCTGCCTTGGGTTCCCTCGGCGTCTGCTGTAGAGGGCTGGCAGGGTGCTTAAGGACTTCTCCCCAGGACGTGTGGGAGAAGGCAGAGTGGACAGGGGCCAGGGGAGCTGGGGAGTCATTCTCCTGACCACAGGTAGAGCCGAGGGAAAGTACCTAGAACACAGAGACATCCGCAGGGATGCCTAGGGCCAGCTCCGGACCGGAGCAGAGCCCGAGGCTGCTTCCCGCGCTCCCTGCTGCCCCTGCCTGCTGACCACTTCCCATCCAGGGCTCTCAGTCCGAGGGAGAGAGCCCTGCAGTTTGTTCCCTACATCTGCATGTTGGTATCCAAGGGGGGGCGCTGTGCCAAAGTAGGGCCCCTAAGTCCTGGGTGTGTCTCAGAGTCCTGTGGTCACTAGGACGGAATTCTGAACTCCTCCAAAAAGCGTCCCCAACTGGCCTGACAACTCTGCACCCCAGTAGTGCCAGAGCACTGGCTTTGGGCAGCCCTCCCTTTACCCTCCTGTGTTGTGGGCTATTACCTGCTTAACCTTTTAAATCCCTCCTTGCTGTAAGGTTTACCTTGCTGGATTTTGCAGGCTCTATTAAAGTAATATGTTAATGCAAACGCTGAACAGTCCGATTCCACTTTCAGGTGGATGGCTGGAGCAAAGAAGTCGTCCTGTACCCTGCCTGACCCTGAGCTCAGGCTCCGGCAGCTCTGCCTCTGCCCGCCGCTTCCACTGCCCTACTGCAAGCAGTCGGTCGGGCTGCAGCTCTTCGCCCCTGGTGGGGGTGGAGCAGGCTGGGAGTTATAAATTCAAACCAAACAGAGCTGTCTCGGCACAGCCATATGGTGGCATCCCTGTCATCTTCCTCACCTTCAGGCCCAACCTCAGACCTTGGTCCCCAGCGGCTGAGACAGCAGCCTGCCTGACACCATCCTCCCTGACCTGCTACTTCCCGGCCAGCACCCTCACTGCATCGTGCTAGCTCATAGACACACACAGTTTCACCCACCATACCCCCCTTCTCCGAACCTCTTCCAACCCGAGCCTTCTGTGGGAGACAGATGGGGTGTCTGTGATGGAAAAGGCTCTGGGCTCTATGCCGCCTTGAGTGGGCAGCCCCCTCCCCAGCTCCCCGCCGCTCCCTCTCCCCACCTAAGACACTCAGATTCACCCCAGGCACCCCTGGGAGCTGCCGAGGAGGCCAACCCCTCCCAGCTCGGCCTTTACATCTTCTGAAAGGCCAGTGCAAGGTGGAAGTAGTGAGGGGCTGGGGGCCCTGCCAGGGAAGGACAGAGAGGCCTGGGCCCTTCCTTGAAGGCTGATGGCTGGGGCTTGGGACCCTGAGTGGACAGAGGGGATCAAGCCCACGCAGCTCTAGAAATCTGGGGTCCCCAGAGGGAGGCTCAGCACAGGGAGGGGAGAGGGGACTAACATTACTTAGAGCCAAGCACTGCACCAGGGCCACACCTTCCCATCCCTGCTTCCTGGCTAGCAAGTGAGAAGTCAGGCTGAGAGGCTTCTCGGGGTTGGGCCAGTCCTGCTCTGCTTCTGTGATGGCACTGCTGTCTCCTACACTGACTGCTTGAATATGATGAAGTCCCCTAGCCCTGCACATACGCAGCGCCATGTGGCCTGCCGCTTGGGGCAGTGATCTCCTACTTGCTGTGCAGTCGTTTGAATGATGGTCCCAGCGTGCACGGGTGGAAAGTTCCACCAGGGCAGTGACCACGTCGGTCTGTGCTCCCCACAACACCTCCCGTAAGGCAGTGTTTGGATAAACATTTATTGAAAGAACAAATGAATGACCAAGGACATCTCTGTGGTCTACTCTCAGATTCTGGCAACCCAGTGTGAATGAGGGTTCTGGGAGTCAGGCCATCTCACTGTCCCCAGAGGAAACCATTGAGACCAGCCCAGCCCTCATTCAGGTGCCTGGGGCCTGCTCTGGAGAGCCCAGCCCTGCCTGCCCACTCTACAGCTTCCACAGGGCCTAGGAGAATGCAGCACCCCCAGAGCAACTCCTGTGCACAAGCCCGACACCTCTCGCAGGAGCTGGAAAGGAGGGGAGTTCCATCAGAGAAGGGTGCTCTGCAGAAAATCCCTCTTCTCTGCCTCAGCCAAAACTGCAGAGACCATCTGCTACCACCCCTCTGTCTGCTTCTGTCCTCTTTCCCTGGGCTTTGGGAAGGAGCTGGTTAAAGCCAGTAGGAGGGACAGTCAGTTTACATGGAGCAAGATGGGCTTCACGTTCTCTGAAATGCCCAGGAACCTGAGCGCTGAGCCATGCCAGGTGACCAGAACGGGGAACATGGGTCCTGTATCCCTGGCAAGCAGAGTGCACATGGTGGCCCCGAGGAGGTGCAGCCTCCAGCCCAGGGCTCTGGCTGACTTCTTTGCTGCCCTTGCTGTCTGACCTTAAACAGGTCTGAAGGGAATTAAAGTTAGGCCAGGCTGGTCACACTTTTCCCCTGCCCAGCCACACCCTACCCAAGCCTGGTATGAGCACTCAGATAGTCGTCGACCTCCAAGCCCAGAGCATCTCTGCGACTCCGTGCCAATTCCCAATCCTCAGGGCAGCTTCTCACCCAGTCTCCTTCCCTTGATGGTACCCTTCCCGCCCCAATATCTAGGGTCATGAATCTGGAGCCATTCTAGGGAATGTTCTCTCTCTGACCCCACCTGTCCTCTGGGCCCCTACTAAAGCAGGATAATTCAGGCTGCAGGCCAAGTCCTGTGTCCTCATCAAAGGCAACATCTGTCCCCTCCAAGAAGATAACCCTGGAGGGAGGGGGAGAAACAGGCACAAGGGAGAAACCCTAATCTTGCCTGGGCCTTCACCCCACATTCCACTGCAGGCATCGATGGAGTCTGGGGCCCGAAAGCCACAGAGGCCTGCACTTGCCCAGGCCCCACGCAGCCTTCACGCCTCCAAGCCCCCACATCAGAGAGCACCTCCTGGGCTTACCCAGCTACCTGGGCTGCTGCCGCTGCCAAGCGGCCTTCTTTTATTCATGCGTTGTTTTATTGCTGGCAACTGCTGCTGCCTGCCGCTGTTGGAGGCGTTCCTGCCAAATCCATCCCAACATCTTGGCCTGGCATCAGGGCGGCATGCTAATGTGGAAATTTAAAGAGCTGCTCTCGGCTTTAAATCGGAATTTTAAATGAGCAGCAGTGCTCCGAGGGGACCCAGGCAGAATCGAACAGTATCTGATTCACCCTTCTTCCCCCCACACTCTCAGCACCACCCTGAGTACCTCCCACTGCTCCCTATGGTTTGGGATGGTGGCCTGAGACACACGAAGCAGCGGAGCAGGGGGAACCAGGACAAAGGAACTGGTGCAAGCCAGGGTTATCTAGACCAGTGGGGGGGGAGTCTCTCACCCAGGACCGAGGAGGGACCCGCTGCCTGCTGTCATGGGCAGGGAGCAGGGCTAGGATGCTGAAGCCCAGGACCCTTTTCTTCCCATTGTACCTGCAAACAGGAAGAGAGAAGGTGGAATTCCGCAAAGACACCCACACACAGCACAGGCCTCACCCACGCCGGGCTGTGTGCCCACATCAGTGCGTGGGGACTGGCCGGGCGCAAGCTGGGAGCCCCGCGGCACACAGCCACCTGAACTCGCAGATCGCCCTTCACAGGGGGCATTAGTCCCGTGCAGGGCAGTCTTGCTTCCATTTCCGAGCCACTGTCCCAGTATAGGATAAGTTGGCTCCTGCACACTGCTAACATCGACTGCACCCTGGGGTTTCCCTGGCTCACAATGTCCCAGCTCCTGGCAGCCACTTTGAGTCAGCTGGGAGGATGGGGCCCAGAACGGGAGCAGGGGATATCTGGGGTCACTCCTTGTACCTGTCCTGGCCACAGTGTGGTGTCTTCTCTGGTGACCCCTAGCTGATGGGGTCACCCCCAAGGGGTGCTGGGCACAGCCTGTGGCTCTCTGTAACCCCTTTTCCTCACTTGTCTCCAGGAGACAGGTGGCTCCTCGTTATCAGAAAACAGAGCCTACTCTTCAGGAGGCAGGCATGATGCCTGCTTTAGCACAGTACTTCCTAGTCACCTTAGTTGACGGCAGCCTCAAGAATCCGGACACCTTGTCCCCACTGGAAGGCATCACACAGTGACCTCCACCTGACCCTGGGCTGCCAGGCCAAGGGATGCTCCCAGACCTTCCCCAAGATTCTTTCTGTCTCAAAGAAGTAGGCAGCCCCTCAGGGGTTCATGTGGCTGCCAGCCAAGAGGCTTGGGGCAGGCCTGGGGCATGCAGCTGGCACCTGCCCACTGGGTCCCCAAGGAGCACCATCCTCCCCCATCCTATGGCCCCATTCAGATGGTGCCCGGGCTACAGGGAGACAGCTCACCACTCCTCATTCTTGGAGAAAACACTCACCATCTCCCTTCCTGCTACACTCTTACTCCAGGACCCTCCACCACCACTGCGGACCCTGAAGACAGCAGGCAACTGTCCCAGGCAGAACAAAGCTTCACCGAGTGGGGGGACCTAGGGCAGGAGACCTGAAAGGTGAGGCCCAGGCTGTAGGCCAGGGGGAGATTGTCAAGGTCCAGGAATAGATGAGGAAGCAGAACTCTGTGTGAGCGAGAGTACTAGAAACAAGAAGGGCAGGGGCTGAATGACTCTGCCTCTCATCTAATTAGCAACATGCAAATAATATGCAAATAACACCCTCTTTGTTTGGAAGACCACAGGCCTGTGCTTTTTGGAAGTGGATTGCAAATGGACCTGTAGCCAGCACCCTTAGACATGGGACACCCAGGCTTAGGAGAGAAGACAGAGTGTATCCACCTGGCCCCGGCTTATTCTCTGAACGAACTACCTTCTGTGGGCCTCAGTTTCTCTGTGTGAAACAGAAGAGCATCCTGGATGGAGCTAAGGCTTCTTCCCAGCATTGGCATCCTGGGGCTCTGGGATCCGCAGCCCAGTGCCAGTGCAAGCTGGAGGGGTGGATTCTATTCTGGGGTGGAGGCCAAGGCCCTCTTGCCCCTGCCACCCTCCACACCTCCATACACCTGCCATTCCAAGCTTGGGCAGTTTCCTGAAGGCAGGACTTTTTCCTTCCCCACACCTTTCCCCTTTCCTGTGACTAGAATGCCCACCCTAATTTAGTCCCTGGTGGTATTTCAAGCTCAGCCAGGTGATCCAGAATAACCTCCCCTTCTCAAGATTCTATTTTTTAAAATCATTTGTTTGTTTGTTTGTCACAGGGTCTTGCTGTGCAGCTCAGACTCATAGTGATCCTCCTGTCTCAACCCCCCACACACACTCGGATTACAGGTGTGCACCAACAAGCCCGGTTTTGGTGGCTGGCTTGGCACAGGGCTGGCACAGCAGGCAGTACCAGGGATTGAACCCATGTCCTTGCGCTTGCCAGGCAGGTGCTTAGACTACCGAGCTATCTCCCCAGTCTTTCAAGATTCTTAATCACATCCACAAAGCCCACTTTTGTAGATAATATGCACAAGTCCTGAAGAATCACACATGGACAGATTGGGGACGGAGAGGTTATTGTGAACTGAACTCAGGACCTCACACTTCCAGGCAGACACTGTACTGCTGAGCTATCGTCCCACTGTTTGAAACAGGGTCTTGCTTTGTACTTCAGGCTGGCCTTGAGCTCACAACGATCCTCCTGCCTCAGCCTCTGGAGTACTTGGATCGCAAATGGTGCTATTGCGCCTGGCTGGACAGATCTTTTAAGAGTGTGGTCAGACTACCAAAAGAAGCCATGGCGTTTTAAATTTTACCCCAGTTGTGAAGCCTACCATGTGGCAAACCTGGCAGTAGTTTTTTTCTCATCTTATTTGCATCTTACAATAACCCAGAAAGGTAGACAGGAACGCCTCTGTCCTCCAGATGAGGAAGACAAGGCTCAGGGAGAATGAATTAACCACTCAAGATCTAGTAGCGGGGAGACGACACAACTGAAATCCAGGTGAGCTTGGCTCCAGAACCTGGCAGTATTTTTCTTCACCAACAGCCCCTGAACCTACCCCAGCCCCTGGCACTGAGCTCTTGCCCCAGTAGACAGGTGGGAGGATAGACGAGGACCAGCCCAGCCTCCAATGATACTGACTCAAGCTTTCTTTTGCCAAAGCCCCCTCATCACCCCTCTCTCTAATCCCCTCCACCTCTGACCCTGTTCTCAAAAGCTTGGAATCCCCCCTAATTTTCAGCCCCTGCCAACTACTGATGCCCAGAAGGGTGGCACAGTGCCTAAACTTCAGAGAGGAACCAGCAGGTTATGGAAGCAGAGGGACATCTGGAAATCACCTCTTCAAGCCCTCTGCCCACATCCAGGCCTGCTCACAAGGACAGGGACTGACAGGGTCAGGTCTGTGCGCTCAGAAGGGCGAGGCAGCCGCTTCTGCCTTCGGTCCCTTTCTCCAGCCGCAGGTCTCCCAATATTTACATGGGAAGTCCCCACTCAGCTCTAAAACTTTCGGGCAAGCGCAACCGGAGGTGGTCAGTGGTTCAGGCTCTGGGACCTGGTTCTGGAGTCTGCAAAAAGTAAAATGAGATTTTTGGCGAAGTCTTTTCACCTCTCTGGCTCTCTCATTCTTCATCTTTAAAGTGGGATGAGTGAGAACGCCCCACCTCCAAGGGCTGCGGGGGGAGGGGCGGCCGAGCAGAGCCCCGGAAAGCAGCGTCCAGCCCGCGACTTGGAGTGGCAGGTGCTGCAGGAATATTCTGTAACAGCCCTTCAGCCCTCCAGCCAAATCCCTCCATCCTGGATAGCACCGGCTCCTGCTCACCTCCGCCAGTCTGGTCGGCCTTGCGCGCTAGACTGTGAACTCTTCTTGGCAGGATCTTGTTCATTTTTAATCACCGCCCGTCCCCTCCCCAGCGTCTCGCCCGCGCTTGGGCATGCAGGCCCAATATGCGCTCGATAAACGAACGAGCGAGGGCGGGAGTCAGACCCCAGGTCCTGCGAGCCCTGCTCGTTAGGGCACCCCCCAAACACCGGGAACGGGCAGCGACCGCTACGCGGGCGGTGGGGAAGGGAGGCGCTGCGGCTTTAAGATTTCTCCGCGGCGTCCGGTTGCCAGGGCGCGGTTGCCAGGGGCTGCGCGGGGCGGCGTCCCGGCCTTGCGCGCCGCTTCCGCCGCCGCCGCCGCCGCCGCCGCCGCCGCCCGGCCGCGGGCTCGGCTGCTCCGAACCGTCTGGCGGACTTGGCACCGGCCCCCGCTCCTGGTGCCCCCGCGGTGCGTGGCAGGCTGCGGCTTCATTATCCTGATTGATTCCTCCTGCTCCCCGACACCGTGGGGGCCCCGGCCGGGGAGGGGGGCGGAGGCGGCATCTGCGGGCCCCTTCCCGGCTCCCGCCCGCAGCCCCGCCCTGGAGGACGCGCAGGGCTGGGGTGCAGAAAGAGCGGGGGGACCGGCTGACAACCTCGAGGAGCGCCAGCCTGGCAGACCGGAAAAGGTGACTTCTCCGAGACAGCGGTCCCGGGCCGAGGCAGCCTCCGTGGGCATTTTCAGGACAATTCCCGGGGGACGCGGGGGGGGGGGGGCTGAACCCCAGGGATCTGAGCTCAGAGGGAGGCCAGGGACTTGGCCGAGCTGGAGGAGCCCCTGGCAGGAGCTGGGGTCCCCCCACCCCAAAACGTTGGTGCTGCCATCTGGCCTGTGACCCGAACAAGGCACTTTACCTTTCCTAGCTTCCTAGCCTTGGTGTGCTCATCTGTGCAGTGGGCTCAACCCCTGTCTTATCCGGGGCTCCGTGAACTAACAGGTCACGTGTGGCCATCAGGGCCCTTCTTAAGTGGGCTGAAGGGCTACCCTCAGCCCTGTGCTGTTGGGGGGGGGTCCAGAAGGGAAAGGGGTGTCTCCTCTGTATATTAGGTCCCCAGCCCAAGCTGCCCCCGGTCAAGATAGGGACAAACTGCTGTGGTCTCCCGCGTAATGCCGCGTGGGTTTCCTGCCCACGTGCACGGTCCCCCCTCCCCACTCCGCCTGCCGCCCCGCCCCGGCCTGCTCTGCCCTGGCCGCTCCCCCACAGCCTCAGCCCTATGCTGTCCTAGGCCAGGCCGTGACCCATTTGAGCAACTCCCAAGCTTAGCGTCCCACAGCCCTGGGAAAGAGGAAGCTGGTAGAGAACCTCAGGCCACCTCCCCCCAGATCTGTGGCTGTGCTTGTTCGAGAGTGTGACTGAGGTCATTCCTGCACTCCACGTCCATCTCTGGGCCTGTTTCCTCTTCTGTGAGTTCATTTATTCTTCCAAGCTATGTGGGCCTGTGGTATGCCCAGACGATGAGACTGGGGTGCAGCCATAGATGGGGTGAGGAGAGCTCTACTGTGACCCCACTGACCTAAAGGAGGGCAGCCAGGTGCACACAGCAGCATCTGCAGAAAGGGTGCCTGCTGCAGGGTGGCCCCCAGGTTCTAGAAGCACTACGATGATGCCTCCCCTCCTTTCCCAACATGGCACTCTTGCCCTGGACTTTTCAGCCATAGCTGAATTAACTTGCTATGGAAAAGAAGACAGATCCCAGAATGTGAGTCTGGGGCCTTTGTTCATTGCCTTTGGCCAGGATTGCCTGTTTTTACAAGAACCACACATTCTTATGTTCATCACAATAGAAGCATCCTAGTTGGAGAAGAAAGATGCCAGGGAGGGGTGTTTCCCTGTGGTGAACAGAGGCATGGATAGGGACCTGCCAGGCTGCCCAGGCCTCTTGGCCAAGGTGGCGCTGTGTGCGGCTGCCTCAGTCTCCCCACCAGCCATCCCCAGCTGGCTGCCCTGTCCTCAGCCCCTCGGTGCCACTTCCTATTAATATCAGCCACGTGGGCCCCTCGCTGTGGCGTCTCCAGGCAGAAGAGGAAACCACAGCCGCCTAGTGGCTGCCAGGGAGGCTGGCAGGAAGGGGCATCTCCACCAGGCGCCAGGCATCTCCTGGGAAACAGCGAGCTCCCCAGAGAAGGGACATTTGCAAATAAAACTCCTGCCTGTGTTGTGTGTTTCGTGTGTGTGCGCGTTGGGAGGGAGAGGAGTTCAGAACCCTCCTCAGCCCTGATCTCCTGTCTCCTCAGGGAAGCCTTTCTCAGGCTCTCCTGCCTCCCTTCTGGCTCAGCTCCGCTGTGACTGGAGGGCAGCCTTCATTCAGGTGCGGGTGGGGAGGAGCCCCGGGCCCTCATAAAGGAGGGTGCCTGGTGCCATCACCCCATCTCTGCCCTGCAGGAGCTCCCCCACAGGCCTCACCGTCCTGCCCTGGGTATGAGCACAGCGCTCCTTGTGTGACCTTGACTGTGGTGTAGCTCCCAGCGGCCTTTGCTTCTTGGTATTTAAGAGTCAGGCCCACTGGGGAGGTCCAGAGGCTGCAGAGGTCTCCAAGGCCAAGGCCTGCAGCTCCCTCTTGCTGTCCGGGGCCGCCTACCTGCTGTGTCTCTTCTGTGGCCACCCTCCCTTCTAAGGACCCTCTTCCCCAAGTGTCCCGAACCTCACTAAGGGAGCAGCCACCATGCCTCCTGGGAAACAGGAGCAGGTGATGTCCCTGGCCCTCTGTCCTCCCCTGCACCCGCTTCCTTTGCTGTCCTTTTCTCTTGAGGGACCCAGCCTAATCCACTCAGCTAAGCCAGCCTCCCCACCGAAGTTTGCCAGTGGGAAGAGTGTGAGTAAAAGAATCAAGATGTGTTCTGTGTAGGGGCCGGGGAGATGGCTCAGTAGAATAAGCCCTTCCCTGGCAAGCACAAGGGCCTGAGTTCAATCCCTCGTTCCGCAAAAAAAAAAAAAAAAAAAAAAAAAAAAAAAAAAAAAAAGATGTGTTCTGTGCACGCACTGTCTCCCCACAGAGAATGTCATCATGAGGGACTGCAAACATGGATAATGAAAAAACATTTTTTGTTTTAGTTTTGTGGTACCAGGGATTGAACTTGGGACCTTGTGCTCGCCAGGCTCATGCTACTGAGCTATCTCCCCAGCCCAAAAATATATTTTTTGAGACAGGGCCTCGCTATGTAGACTGACCTTGAATTCACTATATAGTCCTGGGTGGTCTCAAACTCATGGAGATCCTCCTGCCTCAGCCGCCCAAGTGCTAGGGTTACAGGCATGTGCCACCACACCCAGCTAGAAATATTTTTAAGTAAGACACTCCAGATGGAGGGGGGGGTCTTTGGAACTCTCAGACAGAGGTCAGAGGGGCCCAAGGAAAAGCAGGTGGCTCTGATCCATTTGCAGTGCCCTCTCCCTTGGTCTCAGCACCTAGAGACCCCTCCTTCCTCAGGGTAGGGCAGTATGAGGGAACTCTCCATGGAAACAGCCCCCACAGTCTTTGGGCGAGCTCTGAGCAGGCACAGGGACCAAGGGCCAGGCCTCCAGGTGCCCTCTGAGGAGGAAGCGCAGGCAGTGGTGCCCGCATCTGCCCTCTGGCAGGGCCTGAGGGCGTGGTGATGTGGACCCTTGTCACCTTCACCGGGACCTGCTGTGTCCCAGGCAACAGACTCTGTCCCCACCATGGCTGCGAACCACGGAGCTCTCCTCCTATTCTCACAGAAGGAAACTGAGACGAGGCATTATATAACTTGGCCAAGGTCACACAGCTTGTCAGGAGCAAAGCCAGGCTCCCAGCCCAGGCCTGGCAGCCTCCAGTGGGTTCTCCCCACTGCCAGCAAGTCCTCCTCCCAGAAAAGCCAGTCTGGAATTGGGGTTTCAGTCAGAGCTGTCTGGGTCCCCAGAGGCAAATGTATTGTCATCTGCCCTCCTCCTCCTCACCCGTCTGCCAGGCAAGTCGCAGGTAAGCCCCCTGCCATGGCCCCGGCCCCAGCTCCAGGTGCCAGCTCAACTCTGCCTGGCTCCCCGCCTCTGCCTGGGGCCCCCAAGGTGGCTCTGAGGTCACCCCAGTGCCCGCTTCCTGCACCTCCAGTCTCCAAATGTTCAGGGAAAGCAGGATAGCAGAGGAGGTCACTTGAAGGTTGAATGGGGGTCTGGTTATGGGCCAAGGAATGGGAGGCCTGCCCATCGCCCTCCACCCTAAGCGGCCCTTCCCCCACGCCACCCCCTCACCCCCAGAGACAGCCCAAGCTTTGCTTAGTTAATGAAATACAAAAGAAGGAATCAGGGCTGGGGGCGACTCCAGAGCCCTGGAAAGCGAGGGAGAGAGGAAAAGTTGGGTCTCTTCCAAAGAGTTAATGTTCCACAGTATGATCGATTAGGTGTCAGATGTAATTTCAAACCAATACAAGATGAATGGCATAATTTTCCCTCTCTCATTTTAGACAGAATTAAGAATCCATTAGCTAACACAAATTTTTGGCAAGTTTAATAGGAGCTCAAATCTACATTCGGAGGAAACGCTCCCCAAAGCCTGTTTTAGGCTTTCACTTCGGAGGCCCCCTGCCTCCAACGTCCTGGGCTCCATCCCGTCCCCATGGCAGCCCAGCCGGTCCCCCGCACCCTCCTCCCACCCCCAGAAGTGGGCTGACCCCTTCATAGAGGGAGACAGCTGCCCACCATTGGCCTCCGCGCGTGGGGGCGGGGAGGGCCACCGTGCTCCCAGGAAGTGTGGGGTGAGGTGGCTGAGGAGCCTCTGGGCTCCAGAGGACCCCTGGGAGAGCTAAGGGGTGCCAGGAAAGTTGTCTCTATTGCCGATAGGCGTCACCCAGTTCGCAGGGGGACGCCAGCCTTAGGCTCCACTTCCGCCACGGACACGCATCAGTCCGTGGGCCACACGTGAGAGGTGGGAAGATCTGCCGCCACCCAGCTGCATATGAGGAGACTGAGGCTGGGAGAGGTCGACTGGAGTCAGCTGGCCCAAGAGGGCCCTAGCCTCAGTGGCCCTAAGGCGCTGCCCTCCGTGCCTCGGTGTCTGCATCTGCGAAAGGGGATGGCTTCTCGCTCAGCTCACCCAGATCCTGTATTTCCTCCGAGAACTTGCTATCTTTAGGGCCCTCCCTTTAAGAGTAGTACAGCTGGGTGTGGTGCACACGCCTGTCATCCCAGCACTCAGGAGGCTGGGGCAGGAGGACCACTGCAAGTTCAAGGCCAGC